TATCCAGTGTAACGTTGAGATAAATTTATCAGAGTCAATATTTTTAGGAAGATTTAGATGAAATAAAATTCTTACATTAATTTATAGCTAGTGGAGTAATTGTTTTAACGTCATAAATATATCACACTGAAAATACATCAATTTTTATTATTCTTTTTTTCAGAAAGAGTTGAATGAAGCCCCGCAAGATTCAACACTGGCGGAAACCAAAAAATCAAAATATTTAAGCTATATCCTTCAGAAATTTAGCATTATACAGAGTGATTTATTAGAGGTGGCAAGGCATCATATATATTGCAGAATTTTGGGGAAATATTCCTATTAATGACATCTTCCAAGCAAAGTTGCTAGAAATATTTTATTAATTTCTATTTAGTATAAAAAAGGCATTTGCTCGAAAAATTTTCAATATACGTAAGGAAAGAATGGTATATCAGTGGTTATATCACTCGTTTATTAAACCCTCCTACTCCAAGCCCACTTGATAAGATTTTGTTCGAAATGTTTACTGAATAAAGTTTTATATAACCCAATATCATGAAAAATTTGATTTTTTTTATTAAATAAATTAGGCTGCAGTAAAAAGAGTTAATAAAATATAAATTTAATCTATTTATTGTTATTCTGTTTAGTCTGTGCAAAGTCCATAAAGTCCGAATATTTTTCTAGCCCAACGTCCATAAAAAAGACAGGTTATTTTCATTTGCCTGGTGTGGCGTGATTATTTTCCCTAATACGAATTTAATTATTATTGTTCGTTGTTTCAAGCGTAGCACCGATTTTTTATTTAGCAATAACTAAATTGCAATCTCGTTAACGTTTGGTATTCATTTCCGTCTTTAGATAGTATGTTTTCAAATAAATATGTTACTAATAATTCAATCGTGCTGATGTACGTCACGGATGTCAAACTCACGGCCCGCGGGCCGCATGCGGCCCACTACGAACATTTTTGCGGCCCGGCCAATATATCCGCAAATAATAATAAATACGTGTGAGTAGCGTCCGACGATAGCCGACGATAGCCGAATGTAGCCAAACACATGGTCTCAGTTCTCTGAACATAGTTTTGTACGATATACATGAATTAATGCAGGTAATAGGAATAATTTTGTTTTAATATTAATTATAACTTAATTCATAGTATTCTCATTTATTTATACAGTTATTCCGTTTCTCTGGTAAGTTAATGTTAACATTAATATTTTATTAAAATGTTTTTTTTTTATACATTTTATTAAAATGTATAATTTTTTCTTAACAACAGCGTATTTATTCCAGCCCATTGTATTCAGTATGTCTGTATTAAAACCAAGTGGTAGTAAAATTAAACGAAAAATCATTGACGAACATAGGATATTCCAAGTAAAATGGGAATTAGAATACTTTAGCTGTGAAATAAAAGATAAAATAATCTGCTTGATATGTAAAAATACTATTAATGTACCAAAGTTATATAATATTAAACGTCATTACGAACAACGCCAGTGAAAATATAACAATTATGAAGGATTAATGAGAGAAGAAAAGTTGAAAGAACTCAAATTAGGACTGAAAAAGCAACAGTTGATGTTTAGTAAAGTATTGCAAGAAAGTGAAGCGGCGGTACATGCAAGTTACGTCGTTTCCGAGTTGATGGCTAAACACTCGAAGCCTTTTACTGACGGTGATTTCATCAAGGAATGTTTGTAATGGAAATGTGAAGGCTTTTCAATCAATTTCATTGTCTCGAAATACAGTTGCGGAAAGAATTACTGATTTAGCCGCCAATTTAAGTGATCAGATTAAAGCAAAAGCATCTAATTTCGAAAGTTTCTCCATTGCCTGTGACGAGAGTACAGACATTAGTGGCAAAGCTCAATTAGCAGTGTTTCTTCGTTCTTGTGATAAGAATTTTAACATTTTTGAGGAATTACTGGAATTAATACCGATGCCTGGTACTACCACAGGACAAGATATATTTACTTGTGTTTTTGAACTTCTGCAGAAATACGAGCTACCTTTGGCAAAATTAAATTCTGTTGCTACAGATGGCGCTCCATCAATGACCGGGAAAAATAAGGACTTCGTCGCATTACTAAGAAAGAAAATTAGTGAAATTCACGGTTCAAACATTCATCATACGCATTGTATTATACATCAAGAAGTTCTATGCACGAAGGTAATAAACATGGAGAATGTTTTGTCATATCTAAAAAAAGATATAAATTTTATAAGATCTCGAGGCTTAAATCAGCATCAATTCACTGCTTTCCTAAGCGACTTAGATAGTGAATATTCGGGTTTGTCCTACTATACCGAGGTACGTTGGTTATCTTGCTCCAAGATTCTCAAACAATTCTGCGATTTGAAAGAAGAAATATGTCAATTTTTAAAAATGAAAAATCAAGACGTAAGTTTACTTTCCGATCCAATATGGATACAAGATTTATCTTTCTTAGTTGATATGACCAATTTATTTTATTTATTATATTTATATTTATTTAAATTTATCGTTACAAGGGAAAGATCATATTATTACGAAAATGTTTGACATAATTAAAGCATTCAAATCTAAATTAGTTCTTTGGGAAAACCAACTTAAAAATGAAGATTCGACACACTTCCCGACGTGCAGCATGAACAAAACGAGTTTAGATGATACTTGTTCGTATCAAAAATACGCAGAAAAAATTACAAAAATAATAATAATAATTTAAAACCGAGTGTTCGAAGTGTTTTCGGAGCGCGAGCATTGAAGATGCCAAGTGAGATTTTGGCGAAACGTCTGCAGGATTCCAGTCGGAGTTCAACAAGCGAACGGATGATATCCCGGAATATAGTGTCAGCATATATATATATATATATATATATATATATATATATATATATATATATATATATATATATATATATATATATATATATATATATATATATAAATATAAATATATATATATATATATATATATATATATATATATATATATATATATATATATATATATATATATATATATATATATATATATATATATATATATATATATATATATATATATATATATATATATATATATATTTATATTTATATATATATATATATATATATATATATATATATATATATATATATATATATATATATATATATATATATATATATATATATATATATATATATATATATATATATATATATATATATATATATATATATATATATATATATATATATATATATATATATATATATATATATATATATATAATTATAATTATTACAATGTATACAAAATAAACGTTCCTTTGAATAATGATTTTTTTGCGGCCCTTCTAAAGTTTAACCTTGTTTGTTTGGCCCAACTGTACTTATGAGTTTGACATCCCTGATGATTAAAGATCAAAAGCACAAGATCAACTTTTAAGAAACTATTCCTCCTTTCACTTTATAGAAAAAATTGCGTAATCTTCATTAGTCCGGGAAAGGTAATTAATCTTATATTTTACTTATAATATATATTATAATATATAGTATTATTAGGACTCACGACGCGCAAAAAAAGTGGCTGCTTTAATTTAATTTAATAAATAAAATTGCATAATTTTGCATAGCCTACTGAGAAATTTTGGACTGCGAAAACTTGTAAAAAGACAAGTGAATTTCAGGAAAAATATCTAAGACAGTCTTTATAAAAACAATAACCGTTAAAAAATAATTCTATTAGTGAAAAAAACTGGCTGCGCCACTGGATTCTACACAGGTGGTTAACAATCATTTTTACCTACTTAGTAATTTGGGATAGTTTCAAGTAACTATGGCAATTTTGTTTGCGGCCTCATATTCTCGAAATTTGAAATGTTCTATTTCTAGTACATACAATTGCAATGAGAATGGAACACACTGTATACACTTTCGTGTATTTGAAAATGAGATATTATCTTTTCTTGGTGAACTCACGTAGATGTAGAATACCAACTAATAACTTCCTGCTGTTTTATTTTTTTGGGGAAAATTAAACATTTACCCCTACGGATATGATCTGATCCCGAACATTGTTAATTTGATTTTATCATATGATGTTCTGAATTTGTGCGTTTTAATTAGAAATAAAAAATAAATCAGTATTTTGGCATTCCTTATCAATTGATTTGTTGTTAAAATTTTTTAAATTTTTACCCTTTTGAAGAAATTAAAAATATTGGTTAAATGTATAATACCTCTTAAGTCTTTGCTGAAATAATTCTGGGGAAAATTTTTTCTGACCAATACATTTTTAAGAAGTTAGTTAAATATTTTTTTACAAATAGTAAAAAAAAAGTATAGTTTGATCATCAAATATTCAGATACCAATGATGTTATTAACAATTGTGTCAGTAAATAAAATATTCCGCCGTTTATACAGGGTAATTTAAGAGACATGCGCAAATACTAGGATGGAGACTCGTCATAAAAAAAAGAAAAAAAGTTCATATAAACATGGGTCCATAAATGCTTATTTTGCATTACACGGCGTGTGTAACGAAAATTCTTAAGTCGTAGACTATATGAGTGCAATGATGCTGATGGTACTAATTTTTTGAATTAAGTTTATTTTAATTTTAATGATTTTTATTATTTCTTTCGAAAACGAGGCAAGATACGAGAAAAATTCAATGGTCGACAAGGTTTTAATTTTAATAGTTTCATTAAAGTAAATAACAAAATATTCAAAAATGTCAGTGGCGTACGTTTGACAGTAATATTAGTTAAGATACTTCCCGGGGCAGCACTGGACTTCACATTTTTATCTAGGTAGAGCAAAATTTGCCATTAATATTATATAAATTGCCTTTGCTTTTTGTTGTTTTGTGATAATATTTGCACCGCAGTGTAAATGACATGGATGCGACAGCGACGAATTTTTTAAAAAAGGCGACGCTCGGACGCCCATACGAGCAAATTACCTCCGAGCAATTGTCGTAAACACAAAATGATATCCATTACGAGTAATAAAAAGCAATTTAAGCGGAGGTCTTACCCTCGGAGCTGCGGCCGGATCACCAAATCACCAAAACACCAAGCGTAGAAATACGGTTTTACATCGGTGTCGTCCTAAAACCGGCACTTTTCGTCTCACCAAATTTGCGCTAACAATTAGTCATTATCTGTAAGGAGGCGACATGTGACTTTATTATTTGATAATGACCCGCTGATTTATTCCGCGTCGTAAAACAAAACACCTGCGAATTCGGGAGGACGTTAATTATCCGGTAATATGGCGCGAATCTGCGAGAATTCAAAAATCGCGTTTTTGCCGGGCTTTTCAGGATGAACGCTGCCGCCGCGGCTGCCGCTTCCCCGCTTTCATTTCGACTCGGTCGACGATAGACTGCGGCCATGACGTCGGAAGAGGATTGATAAAAGCGCTCGAACGTTGATTGTTTTTAATGATATTTAAATGCTCGTCCGTCTTTGTCTCTGCGCGTGCGTGGGCTGGTTCTCCAGATCGTAGCGCCAAATTTAAACGGAATTCACTCGATACATTTTTACGAGCTTCGGAACTGCACATATTGAGTATAGTTCGCCCGATGATAAACCGTTTTTACGACAACTATGATAAATTTTTATGAAGGTCTACCTCGCTTGGTTTTCTCTTTGAAATCCTCAATAAATAGATTCCCAATTCCACAATGACGTTTCAGAACCGTACTTCGGTACTTCATCCATACAAATTCTGAAAGCTGACGGATTTGTGTAGAGTTCCATCGGTGAGATTCATGGATTATTATTAGTCCATGCAGTGAAAAATCCATTCTTACTTTAAAATATTTATTATACCATAAATAAAAATGTTGAAAAAAATATTTATTTAAATTAATACATCAAACACATAGAAAAATAAAATGTAACAAAATATGAAACAATTTTTCTGTAAAAAACTTCAACGTAAACTCGTTATTGAGCCGTATTTCCAACCATAGAGGGTTATAAGGCTCCCGCATTGGACTACAGACATCTAACAGCTTCCAGATCATCTTCAGTTAGCGCCATACAATCATCATGCATTCAAGGAATACAATGGCTAAATTCCTGTGGCTCTGAATCCATATATAATATTATGTATGGTGATACATCTCCCTCAAACTGGCGTAAAAACTTCTGAAAATATTTCTTTGTTCATTTTCCTATGTGGGAATTTGTCCCAATAACGCAACAACTTCTCATCCCAAAAATTTTTGAAAGAAGGGAACATGCTTTTGTCGAGCAGTTGGAGTTCATGTGTGTTATTTGAAGGAAGGCATAACAAGTGAATTCCCAGTTGGTCGGAAGCATCAACAATTGAAACGTGGAGATATGAGTCAGCACCGTTAAATATTAAGAGAACTGGCAGTTGAATAAACTTGCAAAAATGATTGAGCCATTCAATATATCAGGTGGTCATCATTCGGAGACATCTTAACTTGAGATCCCGTCACCAAAAGTTGGTTTTAGCCTCTGCCCTTTAAACAATATCATGGGTGCGATACCATTTCCTAATGCGTTTACACAGGTAACAATTTCCAGAGTGTTCTGGAGCAACCAGGTGTTTCCTTTTTTGGCAATGACCGTCTGTTGATATAGGGTTAGTCTGTATCCCTTTTCATCCATGTTGTAAACCTTTACCGGTTGATGTTTGAAGCCATATTTTTCGAGAACATTATCAAGTTTTTGAAAATGGTCGTTAACAATGAAGAAATTAGGCTTTGCCGCCCTAGCAGAATTCGTCGACAGGGCCTTTCATTGAGATAAGGGTGGATGTCGCTTCATAGCTGCTTTATACCAGTCACATCCATCAATTTTTGTTTCAATGCTGACACGGTTAGAAATGCCTTGATTTTCAACATACTTGAATGCACTTCATAGTAGTCCCTTTGGTGTAAAGGGAAATCCTATGTCAAAAAATTTAATCATTTTCCGAACTAAATCAGTTTCTGGTACTTCAGTCAAGGTAGGCCTCGCCCACAGGATTCTTTTTACAGCTCCGGCTTCCAAATGGTTTCTAATGGTGCGACTTGGTTAAAAAATGTATAAGGTAATAAGGCCCATTAAATTCAAGTGGTGGGTAATAAGGCGCAACTGATATCTGCCTTATTACCCACATTGCAACGAATTCATGTTGAGGATATGTTAAATAAAAAATGTCGAAAACTACAGAACTTAATCGAGTATGCCGGTTTGCGTAATTAATTTGGGTAACGGACCAACACTTAGATGGCGCCATAATACTTATAAATTATTTTTTATTGTTAAATGAGTACATGGGCCTTATTACCCACAGTGGCCTTAAATGAAGGAGTAAATTTAGCTATAAAACAATATTAGAATAACTATAAAAAAAAGTTATTCTACATCAAAATAATCACTATCGTCACTGGACTCGCCCACATTAATTAATTCTGGCCCTAGTCGACTTCGGTAAACATTTTCTCACATTTCACACTTCACTTCTTTGCCCCAGAACTAAATTTCGGTGAGGTGTTGTTTCCTCTTAAACTGGGTTTCAGCTGTCCCCAGATCAGTTCTATTGAATTAAGATTGCAGTGATACGGTGAAAGACGGAAAACTTTGAATGACTTCTTTGGTCGATGATGAATTCGGTATTTATTCCGCTTGTGCTTGGTAGCTGACGTTGTCCATCACGACAATACCTGGTACAATACTAGGAAACAATTTTTCATAAAACCATTTTTCAAAGATGTCTGCTGTCATATTTTCGTGGTAGTCAACTTTCGCTTCTTTGAAAACTTTTGGAGAAAGCAACAAAGCGTTATCTACCCAACCAACTTCAGAGCCCGGCATGTAGCATCATAATCCGTTTGTTGGCTACCAAACCAGATCTAATCTGAATATATGATGGGGACGTTTTTAACCCGAAATTCCTATTGATTCCATCAAAACTTTACTTTTACAAAACTTCTGGATTCTTCCTCTGTCGATTTTTGCTGAATCGAACTTGCTGACGTTTCGCCAATCATCCTGTTGGCTTCTTCAGAGCTTGACTGAAACTGAGAGTTGCGGAGCTTAATTGGGAGGCATAAACACCATCTCGGATGACTGATTCCCATTTTGGTGGCAGGTGCTTATAGAGCTCAACAGACTCTCGGATTTGTCTTTGGTAGAAGAATTGATTATTTTCAAGAATTTTAGTTTCATCGAACAAAATTTTATGTCCAATGTATTTTTTGCCGCATATGCATGGAATGCTGTAAACTCCTGTCATCTCAAATGGAATTTTATCTTTGACAGACCGAAGATGTTGAGAGATTTTTGGACAAGTGGTAGATCTAGTTTTGACATTGTACTTCTTTAGAACTTTTGATATGTGGTCAGTGATATTTTGAATGTAAGGAAGAACCACATTGGCAAGTGTAGGAATACATTCGGCCTCATTGCTATTGGAAGGTTGTGGTGAAGTGTTTTTTTTTTATCGAACGCGTAATATATTTAATGTGGAAATTATTAGAGAGAAGAACAGAGGTAAGGTGTTTTAATTTTGGGTTAGTAACGTCAGCAAGTTCGACTAGGCGAAAACCGATGCAGGAGGACTGCAGAAGTTTTGTAAAAAGTTTTACAGTAGCCTGTAGAAGTTTATTTGAAAAACTACGCAAAGTCTCTTGGCAACAGTCAATGTTCAAAAACACTACGCAACTCTTCATGTAAAGTTTTAATTGTTAGATCAATATTCTTCTGCTACGCATCATATATCAACCGTCTCACTATTCCGACATGGTGCAAGTCAAGTAGAATTTTTGGGACCCCAAGTTTCCGCGTTTTTCTTTCTTGGACACCATTCACAACTAAGTTACGTATGGCATACGGTGTTTTAATAATCTCGGACTATAATTTTATGGCTCCACTTTCCCCAGATGTCGATTTCAGAGAAAGGAATACATTTAAAATTATAATTTGGGCAGCGAACGGCAAATGTGTCCGAGTCTTTGATCCATTTGAATTTGACGGATCTTCATCATCAAAATTAAATTATAAATAAATAATAATAATAAATTGTAATAAATTGTATATGATACCTCAATAAAAATGACTCACTGAGTCTTGAAAAACAATTGAATAACAATAAGTTGGTAATTACTAATTACAAACACAAGACTGAATAGAAATCACTCCAAAGCTTCGACGGTACTGTTTCATAAAACAGACAGCATACTCCGATTTCATCAACCACCACAAATCAACCAATAACAAACTGGGAAGACATTCATTATTAATCGATTATTTACATAAGATTTTTTATTGGTTTCCTGGGCGAATATTTTAGAGTCATTATGTTAAACCCTTACACGTGCTGAAAAGAATGGTCCCTTCAGCTTCACAAAACTCATTTAGTTTGCTTATGTCCGATGAATTAACATTAATATACTATAAATTGTATTTATAGGTTTAAAAGAAATGGAGACAATGAGTTTATACTACTTTTAATCGTGCTTCCGATTGTTCCCAAGCCCGTGCGGAAATGTCCGAAGTGACTCAAATCCGTGGTACAAGAAACTCGCGTGGTAAAGTGATGCTTACCGCACCCTAGATCTTTGTATAATTCGGTATTTCACAAAAAGGAGTAGAAAAATAATATACAATATATACAATATGTAATATTATACAAGTTAGCGTTTATTACTATTATTGTACCCTATAAATATTAAAAATTGATAAATTAAACAGCAGTAAACACTGAGGGAAGCATACAGTCATTTTAAAGCTGGAAACATGTTATATATATTCTATTTTTTTTTTTTCAGCTTGGGTTTTACCATTTGAGCGTAAAAAAAAATCAATAATATGCGTTTATCGTCAAAGCAATAAGCTACTACTATCAAAGACAATCGGTTCATCTCCTTGGGAGAAATAGAAATGGTATGCCTTTGAGCTTTTGAGATGTTTAAAAACATCGATAAACCATAGGGAAATAATTAAAAAATAGAGCCTCAGAACCGGGGATTTAGGTGCATACCTATTAAATTCCAGTGCCTATAGTTTTCATCATTTTTGTAGAAATAACAATACACTGTAATAATTTCTGTTCAACAGTCCAAAAACTCTTGTACAGAATGAGTGCCCTTTAGTCCAATTTTTTTCTCCTAACACAATTTAATGTCAACAATCTAATGTCCACCAACACATTAGCCTCTCCTTCGCCACCTTGGTTTGATTATTCCGAATGAAGTGCACTCACCAAAGGAATTTATATAGTGCCAATGGAAACACCTGAAAAACGCCAATTAACATTTTTGATTTTAAAGAAAGAAAATTAAGTTTATAAATGAAGCTACGTCATATTTGCTTGAAGACACTGATTCAGTAGAAATACTAAAAGGATGTCGAACTTTCA